TAATTTTCCAAAAAAAATTGGTATTATGAGAAATAAACTGAGTAAAAAAAACTTTTTTGAATTAAAAAAAAATAGAAAACGAAAAATTTGAGAAAATTTGCAGAAAATCTCAAAGTTTCTAATAAAAAAAAAATAAAAATTACAATCGTTTTTATCAGAAAATAGAAAATCAGTGTGATAATGTTTTTTCTATATTGTTCTAAAAGAAACATAAAAACACAAAAATTATGAAAAAAAGTCAATTTTTGAAAAAGTTATATATGTAGATATATATATGTATATATTAGGGTGGTCGTTATGTCGGGTAAAAAAAAAAATTAACCGGGCCGCCCCTTAAATTGACTCAAAATAGGGAAAAAAAAATTTGTGCCAAATTTCAGCCCTATAGGTCTATCCTAAATTACCCCTGTGAACCACTTGTTCACTAAAAATTGAATTTTTTAATTAAAAATGATAAAGTAATTTTTAATTTTATATTTAGTATAAATAATAATAATTATTGTTATTATTATAATTACGGGAGAAATATTAATCAAATTATGCATACAATACTATACAGGGTGATCCATCTGTGGTACAGGGTGATCCCCTATAATGTCGCCCCCCTTTAACTTTTTTATTTTAAGTGTCCCAAAAAATTTAAAAGTGTGGTTATGTAGGAACTAAAAAATACTTTTTTTCTACGTTTAAAGAAAATTGGAAAATTGATCAATATACAGGGAAAAACAAAAAGTTTATTTTTTTTCAATGGATCACCCTATACATGAATTTATTTTTCGATTCCTTGTAAAATTCTGAGCATAATTCATATAACAAACCATATCCTAAATTCAACTGTTTTTGAAATATTCGCATTCGAAATGTTATCATTAAATGTTTTTTTAAACTGTTAGAAATCAAGAAGCCTCAGTATACCAAAACTTGTATTGAAAATAAATCATTATAGTGATATTATGTCAATATGTCTTGTTAAATAAGTAAAAATGGCCTACTCAGACAGAGAAAGACAAATTATTTCAACTTATTATCTTAAAAATAATTTAAATATTTCAGAAACGGTTGAATTTAGGTATATGGTATGTAAAGTCCATGTCTGACGGTGCAATTTCTCGCGGCGACTTTGTTGCGGCGACTAGTTGCAGCGACTTTCTCGCCTCTAGGGTGTTCACACGGTGCAACCAAACTGAAGTTTTTTTTCTACAAGGATTGCCAACATAACCGAAAATTACTTAGTTGAAAAATAAAAATACCTAAACAAATTTAATGTTTATTTAAATCGATTTTGTTTTTCTTTTAAAGTTATAAGTATTTTGTGGTGTAAAAATAAAAACACTCAGATTAAAGCACACGCAAATCACATCTGTCATTCCACAGCTGATAAATATTGGGTACCAACCAAAAAATTTAGTGAAAATTCGTAAATCCCTAAAAAAGTTACTAAGTCGCGGCGATTTTATTGCATGAAAATAGAACATGTTCTATTTTGAGACAGGTTAGATCAGCTGATTAGTTGCATCGTGTGACCACCAAAAAATCGCGGCGACCTAGTCGCCGCAACAAAATCGCCGCGAGAAGTTGCACCGTCAGACATGGACTTTATATGAATTATGCTCAGAATTTTACAAGGAATCGAAAAATAATTTCTTATATAGGGTGATCCATTGAAAAAAAAATATTTTTTTTGGTTTTCCCTGTATACTGATCAATTTTCCAATTTTCTTTAAACGTAGAAAAAAAGTATTTTTTAGTTCCTACATAACCACACTTTTAATTTTTTTGGGATACTTAAAATAAAAAAGTTAAAGGAGGGCGACATTATAGGGGATCACCCTGTACCTTAATTCGGAATCAGTTGCGATGGCATTTTTCGATGAATCAGTATCACTGAATACGAAACGATGCATGGTAACAGAATTAAACCAATCTGAAGATATAGAAAATGTGATTCCTAAAAGGATTGAACTAAAATACAAAGATACGGTTATTTTCTGTAAAAAAGAAATGGATGATTTTGTAACGTCTCAAACACGAAATTTCTTTGTTCGGTTCGGAATCAGTCAAGACTTTTTGTATATTGATCCAGCCCTTTGGAGCGAAAGTGAGAGTTATCAAAATGCATTAAAAATCGTAAACAATCTCAAAGTTGTAAATGATGTTGCGGAAAGGGGGGTTCAATTATTCACTGAGTTTAATCAATTAATAACGAAAGATGAAGACCAAAAACAGTATGCTCTTCAGCTCATCTCTGAATACCGCAAATCCTTCGTAGGTGCAAAAAAAGAAACAATATTAAAACCATTTTAATTTTTCAAATACAGAGTGTTCAAAATAAAGTAAGCATTTTTATTCTAAATTTTGATTTTTTGAATATCTTTAAAGCGTATAGTTTAAATATTTTTATAGTTTTACCTTCGCAATCAGCAGAAAAAATACTAATTGTTTGCTAATTTCGCCGAAATCATATGATCAACAATAACGAAGAGCAATGGTGCGCCCTTAATATGGATCACCCTGTATAGTATTGTATGCATAATTTGATTAATATTTCTCCCTTAATTATAATAATAACAATAATTATTATTATTTATACTAAAATATAAAATTAAAAATTACTTTATCATTTTTAATTAAAAATTTAATTTTTAGTGAACAAGTGGTTCACAGGGGTAATTTAGGATAGACCTATTGGGCTGAAATTTGGCACACATTTTTTTTTTCCTATTTTGAGTCAATTTAAGGGGCGGCCCGGTTAATTTTTTTTTTTACCCGACATAACGACCACCCTAGTATATATATATAAAGGGCCATTTTTTTTTAATTTATAACTTTTTATTCAAGTTTTATTTAATCACACAAAATGGCTTTTAATTTAATATACACCCAGAATTTATCTAAAAGGTGTTTGGAAAAAACAAAATAAGTAGTAATATACTTCTTGGAATTTTTAAAAAAAATTTACCCTAAAAATGGCTTTTTTTAAATACCCACATCTTTTTAAAAAATTGACTAAATGGGACGTTTTTTTAAATTGTTTGTTCTTCAATGTACTTACAAAAAAATTAGAGATGTCAATTTCTATGAAACCATAAATTTTTCGTCTTGCATAAAAACTGCAATTTCATTTATTATTTTTTTTCAAACTTTGAGGTTCTTTCTACATCCTCAACAATTCCCAGTGGTATTATGAGAAATAAGCTGAGTTAAAAAAAAATTTTATTCAATTAAAAAAAAATAGAAAACGAAAAAGTTTCCAATAAAAAAAATAAAAATGACAATTATCAAGAAATTTTAATTTTTTTCCGAAAATAAAAAAAAAGTCAGTCTGAATATTTTTTTCTATATTGTTCTGAAAGGATCATATAAAAACAAATATGAAAAAAAACGGGCCGGTAAGTCAATTTTTTAAAAAGTTTGATATATTTGAAAAATAAAGGGCCATTTTTTGAAAAATTCGTACCTTTTTTTCGGTTGGGTGGAAAAATTCTAAAAAATTTTTTGATAGGATAAAAAAAGAAAAAGTTTCAGCCAAATCAAAATGGGGTCGGGGTCAAAATGGCGCTAAAATTATAATGTCAAAATTTCTACCCCTGGCGATTCTAAAATTCCTTAAATAAATTCTGCGAATGTAGAAATAATAAATGTGTATTTATCAAATATTAAAAAAATAATATTTTATTTTATTATTCCCATTTTAGGTTAGGGAAGATGTTTTTTCAATTAAAACACAAATAGAAAAAGAAAAAATCCACTCTGAAAATTTTAGAGAATTTGCAGAAAAGTTTGTAATAAAAAAAATTAAAAATGACAATCAAGAAATTTTCGTTTTTTCCTCGAAAATTAAATAAAAAAACATTGACAAATCATTATTATATTGTTCTGAATAACATATAAACTCAAAAATTATTTAAAAAAACGGCCCGATAAGTCAATTTTTGAAAAAGTTATATTTGAATAATAAAGGAAGATTTTTTAAAAAATTCGTATTTTTTTTGGTTGGGTAAAAAAATTCGAAAAAATTCTGAAAAATGATTTTGATAGGATAGAAAAAGTTTCAGCTAAATCAAATTATAACGCAATCAATAAAAATTGCCAAATGGCGCTAAAATAACCGCTCCTACATTCCTGAAATAAATTCTGTGAATGTAGAAGTAAAATTTAATATTAAAGAAATTATTATTTTTTTATTATTCTTCTCTTAGGTTAGGGAAAATGTTAACGATTATTTTGCAATTTTTTCGAGACAACAAGTAGAAAACCTTGTATGCGCGTTAAACAGTTTATAGCAGTAACCACAATCCACACAACAAGGTCTGTTCTATCTCGTACTAAAAATACAAAAAATCACTGCAACACTGCACAGTTTAACGGCGGCCATTTTTGTTGTTTACAATTTTTGTGCTTTGGGTTTGTGCTCTGTTTATACAGATTAATAATCGTTTTAAACGTTGTGTTTCTCATAGTAAGCCTTAAAAGAGTCCTTAAAGTGTTAAGAACAACCATTTTACTCCTCTATTGTAAAAAATAAACTTTATTTTATCAGGGCTGTCATAAAACTGTCAAATGTCAATTTTAAGGTTAAATTATAACCCACAAATTAACCTTCAAATTGTCATTTGTGAGCCCTGGTAGAATAAGGTATATTTATTATAAAAGAGGAGTAAAATGGTTGTCCTCAGCACTTAAAGGCCTCACAAATTACAAGTGCACAATTATTAAACAGCACAAACCAAAAGCACAGGAATTGTAAACAACAAAAATGGCCGCCGTTAAACTCTGTGCAGTGTTGCAGTGATTTTTAGTATTTTTAGCATGATATACAGACCTTGTTGTGTGGATTGTGGCAGTAACAACCTTACAAAAAAATAAATAAATTGTCACCCAAGTTATAAGTTATTTATACTATTGACTATATACGGCTACGTACTAACATACCTAGTAAGAAACTGTACAGGAGCGGGAGCGGGGTGTGAAGTGGCAACATAGCTAGTGACTTTGACTGTTTATATTTGGTACCACTTTTTGTCCCGCTGTCGGATCATCAGTTCGTGCGCGGACGAGCTGAACTGCTCGGCCTCGGTGCGCATCTTCTCCGCCTTGTCCTCCAGCAGGTTGAGTTTGTCGCCTCGCTCCAGCATGAGCTTGTGCGCGCGGCTCACCTCGCTGCTGGCGCTGGTGGCGCGCGAGTTCAGGTCGCCCAGCGTGCCGGGGATGTGCTTGGCCACCGATTTGTTGGCTTTCCCGCTCGATTCGCCGACTGAAAATGCAGTTTGTCAAAAGATTAATCGGGATTTATCGGAAGAAATCCCTGCTTAAAATACCCTATAGAGACCCTGTTCAAACCGATAGATATTTGTATCGGAATGTATGGTGTTTCTATAGGGTGTATCGGTTTGTATAGGACCCATAGTTGGGATTTGTGGTTGTTCTATAGGGATATCCACCCTTGATTTATTTGCTATTGGTTTCAATGGGGAAAATACACATAAATGTAGAAATTAGTTTTTCCCCCATAGGAACCCATAGGTTTTAATAAAATTTTGTCAAATGTTTTATGGCTGTTCTATAGGGATATCCCTATATATCCTTCATTGAGTTATTTGCTATCGGTCTCTATAGGGAAAATGTAAAAGTTATGGTGTGCCTATAGGTAATTTCCTATAAATTTTCTATCGGGCCGTATCCGGAAAAAAACATGGACAAATGCACATATTGAATCCGGTAGCGCCTGATAGATTATTATATATAGTTCTCTATGGGGTATTTTATGCAGGGATATGTTAAAGTAGACAGTTATCGGACACTTTATAGTATTGGACAATTAACATTAATACTGTAAAAACAAGAGTTCTATAAATAGTTTCCTTAAAGTCAAATCATTAGATGACGCTGTATACAATTATAAATATCTCAGTCGGTAATAATATAGAACTACCTTATTTTGCGTCCAATATAGGACAAAAAAGTTCGCACGTTACTTTGGTGGTAAGATTTTTGTTTTTTTGTTGAGCAGGGCTGTGTTTAAATTACAATAAAAATATTTCTAAAAAGTGTACAGATCAATGTGTTCCTCATGGTTTAAACATTGTCACTTTAATGCGTTTTAATTTTAATTCTGAAAACAAACAGTAAAATGGCCAGTGTTCAATTACTGGTTGGTAAAAATGTAAATTTCTATTATTGGACATAAGTCCAATATCATACTATATTTGTTTTCTGGACATTTACCAGCCAATTCTTATGTACAATTGTCCCCTAAATCCGAGACCAAGACCCTCAAAAACTATTAAAGTTTAGCAGTTTTTGAGATATAGTCAATTCCATATTATATGTAAAATTCATTATATTTCAAAAACTGTTCTACTTTTATAACTTTTGACATTTTCGGATTCAGGGAATAATATTTCTTAGGAATTGACTGCTAAATGCCCTGGATACAAATTGCTGTTAACGAGAATTATTAGTGGCTGCTTTTTCGACATTCGACAAGTAATATGCAGAATATCAGTGATTTAAATACAGTGCCTGATAGAAAACATGTTTATGTTATGCATAAAAAAGTAATGGCAACAAAATTAATAAATTCGGAAAATACTTTTAACATACCACCCGAAAAAATATTAGATATATATAAATCACCGGCCTAAACATTATAAATGCTTCACAAACTAGAGATACCACACTTAATGATATTTGCAACAAACTATTTCAGAAGTCAGACCAAGGAATTCAGAAAAGGGATGAGGAATCCGAGAAAGAAATATATGAATTATATGATATTTGCAAAAACGGAATAAAAAAAATTACCTAAAACAGCAATTTATCATTAATTAAAACACCGGCATATATACATTTTAAATAAATTATATTCCTTAAGTGTCCAATAACTATGTGGTTAACCCTATATGGTTAATTTGAAATTTTGATTTTTCTGAAAATTTTGGACCAATTTTTTTCGATAAAAATCATTTTTGATCAGTTTTCGTTCAAGCAAAAACTTTTATCGAGAATTAAGTTTTCTGAGAAATGTAAAATATATTTTACATTCCTCTTTGTAACCTCATCTATGGACAATCCAAGTAGCACAACTAACATTTTAAGTAAACTAACCAAATTCTAAATAAAATAAGGTTTTTTAAACCTGTTTTTTAGCCAATTAGTTGTGTTCAACTATTAACATTTTTTTAAGGTTATAACCTTCATAACCTTATTTTTTAGTTCATATATGCAAAGATAATATTATCTTTGCATATATGAACTAAAAAATAACCCTTGTAATTTACCAACCAGTTGCTATAACCTTAAGGTAAATTCAAAAGTTATTTTTTAGTATAATTTAACTAATATTGGTAATATTACTAACAAGTTTTTTATAGTCAATTTAAACTCTTGAAATAACCTAAATTTACCAATAGATAAATTAAGGTTATTTGAAGAGTTTAAATTGACTATTAATAAACCAAATATTTAACTATATAGTATAGTTCAAAATATTACTTAATAGTTAAAAAGTACGTTATTTTAGAAGTTACATAACGTTATACAGGTTAAGTCATTTAACTTGAAACTGAAATATCTCAGTTAGTATGCATTTTACGAAAAAATGTTTAAAATAAAAATTAAATGATTCGAGGGTTGAAATCAATCAGTACTAAAATTAGTCCTGATACTCTCCTCTTTATAGGGGGAACAGGGGGCAACTTTAAAATTTATTTTTTATTGCAGATTAGGATAATTTAACTAAAAATAGGTAGATTTTGAATAAAACATTTATTCATATTTGTAATATATGGTGCTGTAATAAAAAAATCAATTTTGTTCGATTTTTCTTCGTATACGATTCTGCAATAATTTTTCTATAAAATTATCACTTTTATTAATTATCTTATTAAATTAAATCTGATTGTTTAAGTACCCTCGATTTTTTAACTAAAATTTAAGTTTCTTTTCGTTAAAGTTTTATACATTATTTCATTTGGTGATAATTATCAATTGCGCACAATGGTCACTTTTTACCTGCCAGCATTAAATCCAGAAATTAAAATACCTCATTTAAGGTAATTAATTAATTAATTTAATCCTAATTAAGGTATAAAGAAACTATTTATACATAGTTTAGCATTATTTAATCAATTTATTTAGAAGATTAATTTGCAAACAAAAAGACCTCCTTTCATTAAGCAGTTATTCATAATGGATTTTTTAACATTGGAAGAAAAAATAGAAATGATTTTGATTTTTAGAGAAGCAGGCAGGAATCTTGATGATGCTGTTAATATCTAGTCAAGCAGTTTACTACAAACGGGAGTGTTCAACCGAAAAAAAGAGTTCGCCGAGCAAATATTTAATATTGCTATTTTGAGCACCTACTTTAATTAAAATTAGTTAAATAAATAAATAAATTTAAAAAATAAAACCAAGTATTTTATTAAAAAATTATTGGAGAATCGTATACAGAAGAAAAATCGAACAAAATTGTTTTATTTTTCATTACAGCGCAAATATACCTATTTTTAGTCGAATAATCTGAATCTGCAACAAAAAATACCCCCTGTTTCCCCTATAAGGAGGAGAGTATGTATGAAATATTTTAAGGATCTAGATCAGCTGTAAGTCATATCTATAGATATAAATTATATTTTAATAAACAATTTTACCATAATTAAATTTCTTAATTTGGTTGTTAATTTTTTTACCAAACAGTTTTTAAAATACTCACATAATTCCTCCCTATCTATGGACCGAACACCCCCGCCAAACATAGTTTTTAGGAAACTTTCTTTGGGTGCCTCGGGCATTTCTGCGGTCAAGAATAATTCCCCCATCATTTCGGTAAGATTTGAGCTAAAAACAAAACAAAAACACTAAAAATATTTACTAGTACATTTTTTCAAAAAATTACCAAAATTCCGTGCAAAGTGTGAACTTCTGAAGTTCCGAAGGAGACGCCAAATATAAACCATGCCCTCTATTACTGAAGTTAAATGTTCTGGTAACCCTTCAAATAACATAGAAAATAAATGTTTTGTCTAGTAGAGTAATAATATTTTTTTAGCAGAAGAGTTATAAATATATTATTTACAAACACTTTCTGTAGTTTTGGATTCTTCTTAATTTATTGGCTAGGAAAGTCGAGGTTGTTTCTGTATATTTTACTCTTTATACATCTGACTAATCCTTGTAAAATATACAGGGACTTCCGCCTACATCCCTGGTACAAATTTTGTACATTTATTAAAAATTAGTTGAAAAACCTTTTTTAACTAATACCTTACCTCCTCTTTTATTATTAAAATTATAGAAACGTTTTTAGAAAATTTCTAACATGCCTTTTGGAAAAAGTTCGTTTTCACGTAAAAAATCAATTTTAACAACATGCTGTTATTTTTAAAAATGCAGTGCCTTTGAAGGTGTGCTTAAGCCAATTTTATAAAGATTTGTGATTTGTGTTCATTGTGCTTTAAACGGTCATATTTTCGGTTAAAAAATATACTTATGGTTTTATTTGCACAATTATCAATATAACTGCATTTTCCAATGATCTGATATTTTGTAAGTATGATTATAACTGTAAAAAGTTTATAATATGTAATATTTATGTTGTAGGTAGTGCTGGGGTATTTTGGTTAATATGGTGCTGTTTTGTGGTTTTTGGAAGGGTTAGCAGTGGTGGGTGTGCAGTACCATAAACATACAAAGTTTTCTGAATTTTAATGTTTCTTGTTAACAACTTTGTACAGCCTAAATTATTCAAGAAATAAATACATAGTAGTTGCACATGAAATTTTATAAACAAAGTATTCAAACCACAATACTTTAAATTTGTTTGTAAAATTTTTTGTGCTCACGTATAATATACAGAGTGAGTTGAAACAACCCTTCCAGTTGCAATACATTATCAACATGAAATATAAGATGACATTTAAAATACTTATTTCCACGGATAAAAAGACAGTTGAGTGGCGCTCCCAGACGTTAAAATTTTGCTCTATTTTTCAAACTGCTCTAAAAGATGTCTAATGGATATCAGAAAGATATACATGGACTGGCATAAGTATGGAACAAATTCATTGATTCGGATCTTTTTCTCAACATAATCCTTAAAAATGTGAATTATTAAAAATGTTTTGTGTTTTATAGTAGATATTTATTAAAAGACTTGCTAATAAAATAAATAATTTATATATTATATACAGGGTGTCCAAAATGTGATGGGATAGCATGGGATATCTCGGAAACGGTTACAGATGGAATAGGGCATCAAGGGTTCAAAAGTTGCGTAATTACATGCCCTGTATTATGGCACACAAAATCAGCGGTTCTCAAAATATTTGAAAAAACTGAAAATTGGTTAAAACTTATTATCGCTATAATTTTTTTTTTATAGAAATTTTGAAAAACTACTTTATATGTTTTCAGTATTTTAAAATTCAGTATTTTAAAATTCCTAGAAATAAAAAAGTTATAGCGATAATTATATTGATTATAATCAAATCAAACTGACACAAGCTACCAATTGTACATGTAAAAATTTTAGTTGAGCTTAGCGTTCTCCAAATATTTTGAAGTACTTAAATAGGGGTCATTAAATATGACTCATTCTTATTAAAAATCAAAATGGACGTGTTCAAGGAATATTTTGGGAAAAAAGGAACATTTTATAATGAATTTGTTCCATACTTTTTCCGATAATTAAATATGACATTTTCATCTTATATGTAAATATTAATAACGTAGTTATTAAGGCTCATTTTACATCACTTTGTATGTTAAGACAGAACACATTGAGATTTTATTGATCAATAAAAATATTTGGTTCTGAAATACGTCTATAAATTATAATAGGGTACCTAAGTAACCTAGGTAACCTAACATATACTTTATATACTTTTAATGTGTATTTTGTAATTTAAAACATTTTAGCCTGGAGAAAAATATACCTATTGAATTTGCCATCCTAGTAATAATAGAAAAAACTAATTGTACCCTGTACAATTAAAATTGTTATAGAACAGACATGTTTAATTTATAATACACACCTTAAAATCATAGAAAGTTTATGTTAAACTAATCGAACCACCCCAATTATAATTTTATTATTTATATGACCGTAGATAGAGAGACTTACTGGTCGGTGTCCTCGTTAATAATCAGTTGTTGGCCCCAAATGGACAACATTGGATCTACAATGCCTTTGTTAGATTGTGTCTGGAAACTAGTACAGCAAGGTAGATTAGAAGCAAATAGGGTGTGAGAATAGAGAGATTAGACTTTATTTATAGTTTTTTTTTATATGGTGCCTAACACCAGGTTTCTAGTTTTTTTTTTTAATTTTATACATTTATTTATATGGCTTACAGCCTGTTGATCTAAGATAAGTCCTGGAAACAAAATAATGAGATATAACTAAATTTAGGTAGTTAGTTCCAAAAAATTAAAAACCAATTTTTTCAAACGTGTAAATTATTATTTTCAAATAAATTATGAACAATAAGATTTTCCTCAAAAAAGTAACGTATTTTATGAAACTAATTTAAAAATAGTTATTTACGTCATTAGGTCATTAGCACTTTAATTATGTTTTAACAAAAATTTACAAAGTTAAATTTTTTTAAACTCAAAACAATGGATGGTCAAAAAATATTTTAAATATAAAATGCAACTATACAGGATGCACCTAAAACTTTTTTTTTCTAAATTCTAAAGACTAAGAATAATTTATAATAACCTTTATCCTATCAAAAAGTACGCCGCTGATCGACTAGGAACTTTAAGCTAATCTGGTTGCCTAATTTAATTTATTATGTTATGGTTGGTAACAACCAGCGCTTTCAGATTCTGTCAAAAAAGTTGCCAGATTTTGTTTAAATTTAGCTTAATTGCAAAAATGACAAAATCAACAATGAAAATATTGTTTGGGGTGACAAAAAAAATTATGGTGAAAGTTTGAGTCCATAATATTAATATTAAGGGGTCTATCATCGCAATTTTAGACTTTCCAAAATTCCAAAGTTAAAAGATCAAATTGTAAAACTATACAAATTTTTAAGGCATGATTGTAAGAAAACGGTTCATCTGACGGAAAATTCCAATCAAACCTTTGTAGAGCATTTAATTTTCTTAAAAAAATATTTTTAAGTCAATTTTGTTAAACTCAATGATTTGGGAGTTCTAAAACATGCTAAGGAAAAAAAAATTAAAATTGCGATGATAGACCTCTTAATAACAGTATTATAGACTCAAACTTTCACAATAATTTTTTTTATCACCCCATATTTTCAATATACTTTAAAAAAAAATTTTTTTGGCCCAGTCTAATGTACACAAATTGAATGTTTTAAGTTTAACCTAATTTAATCTGAGTAAACAGAGAGAAAAAAACCGATGAAAAAATTAATTTTGTGGTTATGGAGTTTTTAAAATTGGTACTAAATTTTCTAATTATTGCTTAAGCTAATAGCTGGATGAGTAAATAAATACAGAGAAGAAAAAAATTTTTAGTAACAATTTTTTACAATTGGAAACGCGCAGCTACTTTGTTGGTTGGTATCTGTGTACTCACAGAACACAAGTGTGCAACCAGTGGCGTATCATAAAAAATATAAAAAACTTCCAATATTTTTTCTTTATCTTTGGGGAATTATTTTTTTAAATATTTTTCCGTTACACCTTATGTCGAAAGGTATTCAGTATTTTAATATATTACATTAATTACATAACACAAACTGATTAAAGATAAAAACTTTTGTATAAAATCTTTAAAAATTGCTTGACGTATCTTAGACCAACCACCTGGTATAATATGTGGGTTGGTTTTCGTAATGTAAAATGTTATATATAAGTATAATAAAAAAGAACAAAAACTTGTAACATGTCCAAAAAGTTATACATTAAAATGTATGCGACTTTTGAACACATTTACAGGTTTCAATATAATAAAACTTTAAACTTGAACAAAAATAATGCATTAAAAATTTGAAGCTGCCAAACCCTTGAACACTAGATGTCAGCATCTTAGATTTATTAAAATAAACTTAAGGAAAAAATTAAAGGATATTAAAAGTTTTAATGAAAAAACCAATAATTTAAGCTATTTTCGCTATAACTCCAATAAATCTATCAATTGTGAATAAGAATAATTGCTTTTATATTGTGAATTAAATGAAACAACAGTATAGTAACAAAAATTTTTTAATGATACGAAATATGAAACATATTATTTTCTATTAATATCTTGTATGTCCGCCCCTTGCTTCCAAAACGGCTCTACATCGACGAGGCATACTTAATACAAGATTATCTAAATGTTCTTGAGGTAAATTGTTCCACAAATCCGGTAAAACTTCCTTCAATTCGTTTAAAGTTGTAGGAGGTGGTTGATGCGTTTCAAGGGCCCTTTTCAACATCGACCAAGCATGCTCGATAGGATTGAGGTCCGGTGATAAGGGTGGTAATGGCAAGTGATGAATTTGGGCATCCTCTATAGCTTGAAGTACCACTCTTCCCCTATGTGGACGTGCATTGTCATCCACAAAAATAAACCTATCTCCAAGTTCAATCGCTAGTGGCTCAATTATACCATTTATAATATCCTCACGGTATAGGTTTGCAGTCATATTACCCTCAACAATGTACAGTGGCGTACGTCTTCCATAGCTTAGACCAGCCCAGATCATAACTGACCCTCCTCCGAAAGGATGTATTTCTTGAACAGCAGCGCAATGGCGGGGAGTTCTTCGAGTTCTCCAAATTCGAATACGTCTAGAGTCATTATGAATACCAATTCTACTCTCATCGGTAAAAAAAGTTGAGTTCCATTCAGGACCCCAATTTATGTGAAGACGAGCCCATTCTAGTCGTTGCTGCTTGTGATGTGGCTGCAAAGGAACTCCACGCATAAGCCTTCTAGAAGCTAAACCAACTTCATGTAAGCGATTTCGAACTGTTCTGGCCGTAATATTCCGTCCAGTAAATGCACGAAGTTGATTTCTCAGACTT